GTTGAGAGCTTCAAGTTCCTCGGTGTCCACATCACTTAGGACCTATCATGGTCCAAACACACCAACACAGTCATGAAGATGGCACGACAATGCCTCTTTCCCCTCAGGAGGCTGAAAGGATTTGGCATGGGCCCTCAGATCCTCAAAGTTCTACAGCTGCACCATTGAGAGCATCTGGTACCGCTTGGTGTGGCCTCTGACCGCAAGGCACTACAGAGGGTATTGCGTATGGTCCAGTACAACACAAAGGGCCCAGCTCCTTCCCATCCAGGACCTCTATACCAGGCAGTGTCAGAGGAAGGCCCTAAAAATTGTCAGACTCCAGCCACCCAAGTGACTCTCTGCTACTGCACGGCAAGTGGTACCGGATTGCCAAGTCTGGGACCAAAAGGCTCCTGAATAGCTTCTACCCAAACCCATAACACTGCTGAACAGTTAATTAAAACGGCTTCCCGGACTTTCTGCTTTTCACCCCCCCTACCTACATTCAAACAATCACCTGCCCAAACCTACATGTACATATTATTTCAATCATTCTCCAAAACTACCTCGTATCCCAGTATACTGACTCTGTACCGGTACTCCTTGTATATAGCCTCATTATTGTTATTTTGTGTTACTATTTCCTTTATTTGTTTTCTTTTTAACTGCATTGTTGGGAAAGGGCTCATAAGTAAGCATTTCACAGTAAAGCTTGCAAATGTATTTGATTTTGACAGGCCATGATGTCTTTGTTGGGATCTGTGTTGTTTTTATAGACTTATGCATTTGTATGACTGATATTCATTGCTTTGACTGTGTCTTCCAGATCTGCAAGAGGGGTCCACCAAGGTCAACCCAGTGTGTCCTGGTATGTAACCATACATTGATACTCACAATTCTCATTTCACTAAGTGTCTCTTTCCCTATTGTAAATGCATGTTTGTGTCTTTCAGATAATTTCCAGACAGCCCAACTCCTGGCTTTGATACTGGAGCTGCTGACGTTCTGTGTAGAGCACCACACGTACCACATAAAGACCTACATCATGAACAAGGACCTACTGCGACGAGTCCTGGTGCTAATGAACTCTAAACACACCTTCCTTGCGCTGTGTGAGTCACTGGGGAACACTACAGAGGGCGGCGCACAATTGGCCCAGTGTCGTCCGGGTTAGGGGAGGGTTTGGCCGGGGGGGGCTTTACTTGGCTCATCGTGCTCTAGTGACTCCTTGTGGCAAGCCGGGCGCCTGCAGGCTTACTTCAGCCTGAACAGTTGAACAGTGTTTCCTCCGACACATTGGTGCAGCTGGCTTCCGGGTTAAGCGGGCGGGTCATGTTTCGGAGGACGCATGATTCGACCTTCGCCTCTCCCGGGCCTGTTGGGGAGTTGCAGCGCTGACACAAGATCGTAATTGAAATTCAGAGAAAATGGGGTTAAAATACACACAAAAAAAACAATCTAAATGTACTGCTTGTGGTGTAAGTAGTTGCAATATGGAGTTTCCTCAATGCCTTTTTTTCAAGGTGTTGATTGTAGTGATTTGTTATGCCTTTTAACAGGTGCTCTGCGCTTCATGAGGAGGATAATTGGGCAGAAGGATGAGTATTACAACCGCTACATTGTCAAAGGGAACCTGTTTGAGCCAGTCATCAACACTCTGCTGGACAATGGAACTAGATACAACCTCTTAAACTCAGCCATCATTGAACTCTTTGAGTTCATCAAAGTGGTATGCCCATATTCACCCTTTAACATGTCTGTTTACCATTTTACCACACGTACACACCCAAATAACTATATATCTCTACAGGAGGATATCAAGTCCCTCATAGCACACATCATAGACAACTACTACAAAGCACTTGAATCCATTGAATACGTCCAGACTTTTAAGGGCCTGAAGGGCAGATATGAGCAGGAGAAGGACAGACAGACTCTGAGACTCAACAGGTCAGTGAGGCGTCATCTCCCTCACAGACATGGGCAACTAAAATGGCGTTAAAGTGGAGTAGTTGATTTTGTGGTTTGGTTCAGCCAAAGAGGATAGCTTAGCATATCATTTAATAGTAGTTTGTGTTGAGCAGAGTAACTTAAGCAGTGTTTTGTATGCAGTGCTGTTTAAGCAACGTTGCATTGTCGAGTGACTTGAATTTTTGATAGGTTATTTACATAAAGCCTGTTAAAAGTGGTCTTGACTTTATCCAAGCAGATATCGTAGGGATGCCCGAACGCTGGACGAGGATGAGGAAATGTGGTTCAATGAAGATGAAGATGATGATGAAGGAGAGGCTATTGAGAGAAGCAAGCCTGAAGAAGAGTTCCCAGAGAGCTACGGAAAGTATATGGAAGCAAAAAAAGGTAAGTGCCGCCGCTGTGCTCTGTGTGTGTTCAACCCCATAGCTTGTGGAATGGTATGTTCACCCTATGTATTTCCATCTCTTTGCAGTTAAAGAAAGTGACAACAAAGAGAACTTCCCAAAGCGGGCCCCAACTGGCAGCTTTAAGTTTACCTTCTCTCATTCTGCAGGGGCTGCCAACGGAACCAACGGTGCCAACTGCAAGCCATCCACCTCGCCCGCCTCCGCCGCCAGTTCCAACGGCTCCCCAGCCAAGTCAGCCGCGCCACCCGCCACCCCGGTAGTCAAGGTGAGCTTTCCCTGTCAACTGCCATTCTAGTTGCCAAGGTGAGCCATATCCTCTACCTGTCAATCTGTAGTAAAAACCCCAGTAGTCTAAATGATCCAAACCCCAGGGTTTAGTCACTTGAGTTCTGTGACCTGTGTTCTCGTTGACAGACTGCGATGGTCGGCCTTGTAGACTACCCTGACGATGAAGACGAGGAGGAAGAAGACGAAGAGCAGTCCCCACGGAAACGTCCCCGTCTGGGCTCATAAGCCAGTGAAGTCCTCTGGTCTTGGTCCGCTGTGCCACGGTCACAGTCCACTGGACAGAGACCACTCCCACCGTCCTACCCTCCCAGCCTGCTCCCCTGCTCCTACGCCCCCCTACCTGGCCTGTGGACCAGAGGTTGAACAGTGCCAAGGTTTCCCTGATGCTCCGGCAGGGACACAGCACATCACGCAAACCTCAGCCGCTCTACAGAAGGGGGAGCAGGGGCTAACGGGAGAGCCAGTCAGGCTAGCAGGACTAGCCGCTTAGTAATGGAAGCTTGATTGGCTGACCCTATAGAACTGTTCATTTGGGTTGGGTGGAGGCAACTAGGCAAAAAAAACTAACCAACAGAAAACAAAAAAGTTGCTTAGTTCCGAGGAGCATGACTCAACCGTTGACGCTGGGGCTGCATTGCTGAGGCTCACACAACTACATCAGCCAGGAATCCTGTATTCATGAGTTTATTAAAAGTACTGTACAGGTATTTTTCTTTTTAATCATTTGCCCCTTAAGTGATTTTAAAAGGGTAGAGCTATACCTTCCAGTGTGTTTCTTTTGCACAAATGGTGGGATCACTGTTCACCCTTTTAATTCAATTATTTGATTCATTGTATAAAGCAAGAGTTGCAAAGCTGGTTTTAAAATAACGTGTATTAAATGGCAGTAAAGTCATTTTTGCAGCCCACTTTGAGGATGTCTAGTTTGTGTATTCAGTGGCTTTGATTTACTGTGGCTCCCTTTCAACTGAGCTACCAAAGGTGTCTTTGTTAAGAGAAGTCTATTTTCCAGCTAATATGTGTATCTTTTTTAAAAGGACACAAGACCTTCTCATACTAGTGTTCCATCCCAGTTCAGTACTCATGGATTGAGTTGATTTTGTTGCTAGCACAGTCGCTGTGGGTCAGAGCATTTTTCAAACCTAAATTGCAGCAGTGGTGGTTTAGGCCAGCTACTGCCATTTATAGACATTCCTAATGACAGATGAAGTGTGAGATGTCAGGGAGAGGTGGAAAGCATTTCAGTCTGAGTACGTACAGCAGCGGAGTGCCCAAATGTAACCATTTCAAAGATGTCTAGAGCGCGTAGGTTTTTGTGTCATGAACATTTACTACCACTATCTCCATTCTAAACATTTGTATACATTTGATACGTTTTCAGATTAAATGTGACCCTGGCATTAATGTGTGAATCTAGCTTTATTTTAATGATTTATATTTACACTAGATGACTGATAGGGGGTACTGTATTGAAGCCACCGTTCCTCAATCTTGGCACTCCCTCATTGTAAAAAAATATTTATAAATGCATTTGTCTACATTTGTTTTTGGCATGTTATTCTATTAGAAACCTTAATACTTTTAAATTATATATTGTGAGCTAAACATAATGTTCCTTAATGTATAATTGAGATTAATGTTAGTCCCCCCTACAAAATACTTATGCAAGTAATTTTGTCCTTAACATTTAATTGAAATACTGTAGAATTCCATTCATTCTATGGAGGACTGCTCCTACTGGGGAGTGCCAATATGGCTGACCGGTGGCTTCAAAGTTCTCAATGGCCAATATGTAGCATCAGCAATCCAGGGTTTATAAGTCATTGAACCTGCAATACAAATGTGAACAACCTGCTTATCTTCTGAATTGTGTTAATGCTACAACCCTTACATATTTCATATTTGTGCTGATAATTTCCTAATGCCTATTCACTCATCAGTATGCACTGTTAAGATGCTCTGAGGTATTCCTCCTGTTATCTACATGCATGGATAGTTAGTTGCATATTTTTCATGCTAACCACCTGTCACAGACCAGTAGGTTTACACACAAGAGCTCTGTCAAAATTTAAATAAAAATTGATTTATTAAACCACATACATTATTACATTGAATCAGTGGTGCAATATTATACTTAAAGGGATTGTGCACCCAAAATGACATTTGTTTCCTTACCCTGTAAGCAGTCTATAGACAAGGTATGACCGCAATTCATGCGTTGGTTTAGTTTCCCTGGCACTGTTTCCACATTTTAGCATTTGCGGCACAAATCACATTCATGTCATGGGACCAATATTAGAATTGTTTGCGCATCATTTCCAAATCAGTGCCAGGGAAACTAAACCAAAGCATGGATTGCTGTCACCTTGTCCATAGACTGCTTACAGGGTAAGGAAACCAATATGTCATTCCCTTTTAAGACTATCAAGAATCATTTAAATACTGCATTCTTCCATTACAAATGCACAGTCCATCTCAGCTTCCCAATGAATTGATGGTCCAGTTTGACTACAGTTGACTTTACTTTTTGATGACTTCCTCTTTCAGCTTTTCTGCCAGATGTTTTCTTTTCTGCAACTTCTTTTTTTCTTCGACAGAGATCTCCTATGAAGAGAAAACAAGTGTTTGAGTCAAATTTTGAACGGTAGCACCACTAAATCTAGTCATGTTGCACATATCAGCCATATTGACAGGCGCAGGGCTGTGCTACAGTAAGAATAGAAGCACACAGGGCAGCAGCACTACACAGTGGAGACAATGTCATCACTCAAACAGATCACCTTGGGCTGCTTCTCCTGTCCCCCCACAGGAGAGCTCACAGGCTGGGGTGCATTGACCCGCTCTTCCTTTATACTAGCACCACCCCCGTTCATTTTGGGACCATCGTCCTTTGATTGGCAATGCAGCAAAATAAAATGAGGGAATAAAGAGCAGAAGCAAATCCAAACTTCAAAAAGGGAAGAATGTGAAAACAGACAAAACTGAGACTAAATATCAGGGGAAATCAAGAGAAAATATTATTTTAAACAAAGACAAAGGATTGAAACTCACTACTAAAAAACACAGGAAGACCAGAGTTGACCTCCGGTGCTTTGCTAGCCGTATTCTTTGCGTTCTACTTGAATATGCAGTCATCAGCCGAGGTGTGGTGCATTATCTACCACAAACGAAAGCTGTTACGTGTGTCTTATGGAGAAATACTACCCATATGCTTACAGGAAGAGTCATTATAGAAGTAGGTGTGATGTTACCAGTGTGCTGGCAGGGGGTGCTGGGTTTTTTTCTGGTGTGGCTGGTTTGGGTCTCTGCTCTTTTTTCAGGGCCTGAAGCTTGTCCCTCTGCTGCCTCAGATACAGCGCCCTCTGCTGGAGTTGTTCCTGCTGCTCTGCTGACAACTCCTGAACACACACAGAAACACAATCCATCAGTCCTCAGTCTCCAACAAAACTGGTAATGTAGCCTTTCAAGGTTTCCTTTCTATGTACTGTTGCCTGAGTGTTGTTTTTGCCACAATCAAGTTATTCAGAGTGACTTATAGTCAGTGCATGACACACATGGCAGGTATGGTATATGCAGTAGGAAAGTCTCACTGTGAATAGATTGGAAATGCCAGCCTCCTTGCATGCCTCTTCTATCCAGCCCTCTGCTGCCTGGCTGCTGCTGCCCTTCTCCCTGGAGACAGCCGGAGGCTCTGTACCCTTCACTGGTACCCTCACTGCAGGAAGGACCCGTGGCTCTGCACTGCCCTGCTCTGCATCAACACATAACCATCTATTACTCATACACCCTCTGAAGTATATTAACCTTTTAGCATTCATGTGCTATATCTACACTACAGGAAAGGCTTCAAGGGTAACAGTAGTGTATACTATAAACTGAGGGCACATAGAATAAATCACTAGTGGGCAGGAAAAGGGAGGGTACAGTGACATCACTAAAGGCTAGTAATAGAGCAAGCATGTGCTGAAAATATGATACAGAGAAGGGAATTTCACACACCAAATTATATGAGGAAAAGAGTAGGCAAAATTGTTGGAGACAGTATCAGTATTATTACCTGATGGCAACTTAGAATGGGTAGATGTGCTGGTCTTGGCTGGACTCATCTGCCCACCACCTCCACCTACAGCAGCCTTCAGCTCCTCTTTCTTCTGAGATGTACTGTTAACCTACAGGGAGGGCACAGGGCAGCCATGTCATTGCATCTAGCTGTTCCAGTTCTAATGCCACTGAGCTTCAAAGTTCAGGTTGTACAGCTAACATTTATGGGCGACCACAACAGACTACAGGTCTAGCACACAATCTGCTATTGCATAACTAGGAGAGTTACCGTTGCGTTGCCATTGACCAGAGCGACAGAGGGCTGTTGGCCCCCACTGTTCCCCACCTTCGCCTTGGCCTTAGCATGTGCAACATACAAGAGAGTTGTCATATACCCCACTTTAGGTTAATATACAGGCTAAAACACCATATATTGTAACGATAATGCAGCAAAAACAGTGTTACAAGTCAATGCTTTAGTTTACACAAGCCATTTTCTGCTTTCTGAGATCACTTTCAATCAAGTAATAGAAAAACCAGCCATTGTAGTAAAGAGAGTCCATGTCCTTGAATAGGGCTGGATATCTGCCAGATCATGTACTGCTCTGCATTAGGAGATTGATGTGACTGATTGAAGACCGTCTAGTAACATGATATGTAGCCTATGCAGGGACTGTAAGCAGCTGGCTGCTGCACTCATCACTACCCCTTCGTGTTGATGCTAAATTACATAGCACAGAAGAATACTATAGCTCTGAATACATGAAATATGACACATTTATCACACTCTGAAGAAAGGCAGACAGAGTCATTGGTGTTTATTCTTTTTGTATTACATCACTCCAATGGGTCAGTATTAGATTCATAACTCACCTTGTTAGTGCTGTTTGTCTGTTGAGTGGAGGCGGTCGTCTGGACACTGACTGCCTCTAGAAGTGGCCTATCAGAGCAGCTTCTGGACGTGGAGCCAATCTCCTCCTCTGACTGCAGTCTCAGAGCCATCTCTTGGTAATACTCATCCTTTGACATCCTGTGCAAACACAGAGGGAGATATGTTCAAATATCGGTAGATTCATCCCCTATTCTGGGCCTAGATAGTCGCATAACTCAGATGATGAGAGGTTACTTTCCAACAAAGAACCCCATGGTTTTATAGGGTTGTACTGGTGTGTTTGAATGTGTTACTTGTACAGTGCCTTGCAAAAGTATTCATCCCCCTTGGCGTTTTTCCTATTTTGTTGCATTACAACCTGTAATTTAAATTGATTTTTATTTGGATTTCATGTAATGGACATACACAAAATAGTCAAAATTGGTGAAGTGAAATGAAAAAAATTAATAACAGAAAAGTGGTGCGTGCATATGTATTCAACCCCTTTGCTATGAAGCCCCTAAATAAGATCTGGTGCAACCAATTACCTTCAGAAGTCACATAATTAGTTAAATAAAGTCCACCTGTGTGCAATCTAAGTGTCACATGATTTGCCACATGATCTCAGTATATATACACCTGTTCTGAAAGGCCCCAGAGTCTGCAACATCAAGGCAAACGCTATGTCTGGCGCAAACCCAACACCTCTCATCACCCCGAGAACACCATCACAACAGTGAAGCATGGTGGTGGCAGCATCAACACCACTAAACAAGGGGCACCACCAAGCAAGCGGCACCATGAAGACCAAGGGGCTCTCCAAACAGGTCAGGGAAAAGGTTGTGGAGAAGTACAGATCAGGGTCGGGTTATAAATAAAGTTTCTGATATTAGAACATCCCACGAAGCACCATTAAATCCATTATTAAAAAATGGAAAGAATATGGCACCACAACAAACCTGCCAAGAGAGGGCTGCCCACCAAAACTCACAGACCAGGGAAGGAGGGCATTAATCAGAGAGGCAACAAAGAGACCAAAGATAACCCTGAAGGAGCTGCAAAGCTCCACAGTGGAGATTGGAGTATCTGTCCATAGGACCACTTTAAGCCGTACACTCCACAGAGCTGGGCTTTACGGAAGTGTGGCCAGAAAAAAGCCATTGTTTAAAGTAAAAAATAAGCAAACACGTTTGGTGTTCGCCAAAAGACATGTGGAAGAAGGTACTCTGGTCAGATGAGACTAAATTTGAGCTTTTTGGCCATCAAGGCAAACGCTATGTCTGGCGCAAACCCAACACCTCTCATCACCCCGAGAACACCATCACAACAGTGAAGCATGGTGGTGGCAGCATCATGCTGTGGGGATGTTTTTAATCGGCAGGGACTGGGAAACTGGTCAGAATTGAAGGAATGATGGATGGCGCTAAATACAGGGAAATTCTTGAGGGAAACCTGTTTCAGTCTTCCAGAGATTTGAGACTGGGACGGAGGTTCACCTTCCAGCAGGACAATGACCCTAAGCATACTGCTAAAGCAACACTCGAGTGGTTTAAGGGGAAACATTTAAATGTCTTGGAATGGCCTAGTCAAAGCCCAGACCTCAATCCAATTGAGAATCTGTGGTATGACTTAAAGATTCCTGTACACCAGTGGAACCCATCCAACTTGAAGGAGCTGGAGCAGTTTTGCCTTGAAGAATGGGCAAAAATCCCAGTGGCTAGATGTGCCAAGCTTATAGAGACATACCCCAAGAGACTTGCACTGTAATTGCTGCAAAGGGTGGCTCTACAAAGTATTGACTTTGGGGGGGATGAATAGTTATGTACGGTCAAGTTGAAAAAATATTTGGTCTTATTTTTTGTTTGTTTCGCAAGAAAAAATATTTTGTATCTTCAAAGTGGTAGGCATGTTGTGTAAATCAAATGATACAAATCCCCCCAAAATCTATTTTAATTCCAAGTTGTAAGGAAACAAAATAGGAAAAATGCCAAAGGGGGTGAATACTTTCGCAAGCCATTTGTAGTTGAATAAAGGTTGGCCTACTGCCAGTCTTAAACAACATACAGTACATTAACCTACATACTAGTAAAACTAAATGCATGCTCTTCAATCGAACGCTGCTGGCACCCGCCCACCCGACTAGAATTACCACTCTCGACGGGTCTGACCTAGAGTATGTGGACAACTACAAATACCTAGGTGTCTGGTTAGACTGTAAACTCTCGTTCCAGACTCACATTAAGAATCTCCAATCCAAAGTTAAATCTAGAATCGGCTTCCTATTTCGCAACAAAGCCTCCTTCACTCATGCTGCCAAACATGCCCTCGTAAAACTGACTATCCTACCGATCCTTGACTTCGGCGATGTCATTTACAAAATAGCCTCCAACACTCTACTCAGCAAATTGGATGTAGTCTATCACAGTGCCATCCGTTTTGTCTCCAAAGCCCCATACACTACCCACCACTGTGACCTGTACGCTCTTGTTGGCTGGTCCTCACTACATGTTCGTCGTCAAACCCACTGCTAGGCAAATCCCCACCTTATCTTAGCTCATTGGTCACCATAGCAGCACCCACCCGTAGTCTGCGCTCCAGCAGGTATATCTCACTGGTCATTCCCAAAGCCAACACCTCCTTTGGCCGCCATTCCTTCCAGTTCTCTGCTGCCAATGACTGGAACGAATTGCAAAAATCTCTGAAGCTGGAGACTTATCTCCCTCACTAACTTTAAGCATCAGTTGTCAGAGCACCTTACCGATCACTGCACATGTACACAGCCCATCTGAAATTAGCCCACCCAACTACCTCATCCCTATATTGTTATTTATTTTGCTCTTTTGCACCCCAGTATCTCTATTTGCGCACAATCTCTTGCACATCTAGCATTCCAGTGTTAATACTAATTGTAATTATTTTGCACTATAGCCTATTTATTGCCTTACCTCCATAACTTGCTACATTTGCACACACTGTATATATATTTTCTGTTGTATTTTATGACCTTATGTTTTTTTTTACCCCATATGTAACTCTGTGTTGTTTTTATCGCACTGCTTTGCTTTATCTTGGCCAGGTCGCAGTTGTAAATGAGAACTTGTTCACAACTGGCTTACCTGGTTAAATAAAGGTGAAATAAAATAAAAAATTAATAAATAGTGTCTTTATACCACTCGTACTACAGTACTAGGTCCCAGAGCTGGCAGTCCAAGCTCCTGTCCTTGGTGACCACCTTGCTGACACTCACCATGATGATCTCTTAATGTTATTGATTAGCAGCTTGATTCAACAAGGATGAAGCTTTCCATCACACAGGATTTGAAGAGCACAAACATTTTGCAACATTTTCGATGAGCATAACTGAGAACATAACTTCACATGAGAGCAACGTAGGCCAAGTGGTCTCTACACAATCTGTGCTATAAATTAGGCCTAGCTCTTGTGAAGCACATCTCAAAGCTCTGGGTGAACTAGCGATCTAATGCCCCGATTAGACCACTTACAGTCAAAGAATGAAGACGCATCACATAGATCTAGAACAAGTCCCTCTGACACGTCAAATAGACTTCAAGTGGTGGGTGGGGCCAGCCCTAAGACAAGGATAAAAACAAAATGTTCTCCATTGCCATTATACTCTGCAGAAAATGTTATTTGTTTAAGTGCTATCCTCTGTTTTGGATAGAGGCCACATCTCTAATGAAATGTTGTAATATCTATGAAAGTATATAATATACATATATTGAATATATATGATCGCCATCATGGGCGGCAGGTAGCTTAGTGGGTAAGAGCGTTGTGCCAGTAACCGAAAGGTCGCTGGTTCTAATCCCCGAGCCGACTAGGTGAAAATGTGCCCTTGAGCAAGGCATTTAACCCTAATTGCTCCTGTAAGTCGCTCTGGATAAGAGCGTCTGCTAAATGACTACAAAAAAAAAAGAGTGTAAACCCATCAAGGAGCTTAGTTCCCTTTGGACACACAACCTTTAGTGCTGCACTTCGCTTAGCTTCAAATGCAGAAATCCCATTAGAGAACAAGGAAGATATAATCTTGGATGATTTGTCACTCACTGACTTACTACACAGCCATCTACCACGAAACATGACGACACCGACACAAGGGTTTACAAGAATTACCAAAATAGTGAGACAGTATGTGTTGTTCACTCCTGGTCCTGGCTATACATCTTACGTAATTTCCTGTCACAAACTCTGATACCTCCTGCGCCTTGACCTGTTGTTTCCGAAGTTTTACTTAGTTTTATAAGTGTTTGTGTCAACACCTGCTACCAACTAGCTAGCTGGGTTGCAACGGAGCTAACAAACATTTCCAGCGCTGTAGAAGCTGTGTTTATTACGCTCTTGTCCGGGACAATATTGACAATATGGAGTTACAATGTGGCAAGTGTTTGCTAGCGGAGGATTACAGGAATGAGGTGGGTATGCTTTGCAAGCAAATCTCAATTCTGTGCGAATTTGTGGGGAAAACGCAAATTGGAACTTTCTCGTCCTCAACTCCTGATGGTAGTTTCCCCACCTTGTCATATGTCCCTATCCGAATGGTCTGTGCTACCTGGAACTTGCCTGCCAAAGAAGTAGTCTCCATCTGCTTCTCCTTCTCCATCTTGTAATGAAGTAGACGGAGAACAGCAAGAAGACTGTTCCAATCAGCGCTGGTCACATGTCGTGGAAGCCGAAAGCAGCGGCATGCTGCTAAGTGGATGGGAATGACAAAGAGGTTCGGAGCAGATTGACATAAGGAATAGCTTCGCTGCACTGGTGCCTGATCTACCTGCACCTTCATCGCTGGGATTTCCGGTGCTGACTAACTATGCTGACTCCAGCAGCGGCTTCATCGTCGAGTTTGGCTCCTTTCCCCCTCTCTGGATCTGACGGGGCACTCCTGCTCTGGGAGGTCTGGACCTGTCGCCGGGAGCAGCGGGCGTACGCTATCCTGCTTCTCGTGGACCGGTGAAAGGTTCAACAAATTGTGTTAGGGGTAGGAATGGGCGGATTTCTCCATTCTCTTCTCCGGCCATTGTATTGGGCAGTTCATTGGTGAGAAATGTCTCAGTCCCTGGAGCAAAGACTTTGTGCTAGCCAGGAGCACGAGTACAGGACATCAATAAGCTGCTCCCAAACATTTTAAACATCAGGAAATTGAGTCTATCATGGTTCATGTGGGATTCAATGACTTTATGAAGGGTAGCTCAGAACAGCTGAAGATGGATTTTAAAGAAACTGATTGGGTCACTGCTTGACACCAACAAACGCTCCATAATATCTGGCCCTCTGCCCTCCCTAAAGCATGGCATTGACCGTTTCAGCAGACTTTTAGCCCTCCATAACTGGCTATGAGACTACTGCAGCTCTGTGGGTGTAACATTTATTGATAATTTTGATACCTTCTGGAAACAATGCTTGTCTTTATGAGGAAGGTGGGATCCACCCAAATCATTTTGGTTCCTGAATCCTTTCACAGCATTATAAGGCTGCGTTGAGACAATTATTTATCAAATTACTCAAGCCCTGCTCATTTAATCCCTACCATTGTGTCGCTGAGTTGTCATAATGCTTCAGCAAATGTACATTTTCCCAGGGGTTTTGGAAGACAATGTAAGTAACCTAATTTATGTCCCTCGAACTGCCCTGAATGCCTCTGCTGATCCCACAGCTATTGTATGCAGTAATCATGTGCCTATGAACCAGAGTTATAGTGTTAGCACTGAGGTGGTGTGCCCTAGTAGGAAGTCCACTGTGTGCAGCTCACCCTGCACTAACATAAATAGCATGAGCATGTCTACTTCTGCTAAGCTTCCCAGTAAAGCAAAGAAAACAATCAAGCATCCCAGAAAGTGCTAAAAAATAGCACACGTTAACATACAGTGCATTTGGAAAGTATTCAGACCCTTCACTTTTTCCACATTTCGTTACATTAATGCCTTATTCTAAAATAGATTAAATGTTTGTTTCACCCTCAATCTACACACAATACCCCCTAATGACAAAGCAAAAACAGGTTTTTAGAAATTTTAGCAAATGTATTCAAAATAAAAAACGGAAATAACCATTTACATAAGTATTCAGACCCTTTACTTAGTACTTTGTTGAAGCACCTTTGGCAGCGATTACAACCTTGAGTCTTCTTGGGTATGACGCTACAAGCTTGATACACCTCCCATTCTTCTCTGCAGATCCTCTCAAGCTCTGTTAGGTTGGATGGGGAGCGTCACTGCACAGCTACAGTGGGGAGAACAAGTATTTGATACACTGCCGATTTTGCAGGTTTTCCTACTTACAAAGCATGTAGAGGTCTGTAATTTTTATCATAGGTACACTTCAACTGTGAGAGACGGAATCTAAAACAAAAATCCAGAAAATCACATTGTATGATTTTTAAGTAATTAATTTGCATTTTATTGCATCACATAAGAATTTGATCACCTACCAACCAGTAAGAATTCCGGCTCTCACAGACCTGTTCATTTTTTGACTAAGTCGCTTTGGATAAAAGCGTCTGCTAAATGGCATATTATTATTATTATTACCTGTATTAACTGCACCTGTTTGAACTCGTTACCTGTAAAAAAGACACCTGTCCACACACTCAATCAAACAGACTCCAACCTCTCCACAATGGCCAAGACCAGAAAGCTGTGTAATTGTAGACCTGCACAAGGCTGGGATGGGCTACAGGACAATAGGCAAGCAGCTTGGTGAGAGTTGGCGCAATTATTAGAAAATGGAAGAAGTTCAAGATGACGGTCAATCACCCTCGGTCTGGGGCTCCATGCAAGATCTCACCTCGTGGGGCATCAATGATCATGAGGAAGGTGAGGGATCAGCCCAGAACTACACGGCAGGACCTGGTCAATGACCTGAAGAGAGCTGGGACCACAGTCTCAATGAAAACCAATAGTAACACACTACGCCGTCATGGATTAAAATCCTGCAGCGCACGCAAGGTCCCCCTGCTCAAGCCAGCGCATGTCCAGGCCCGTCTGAAGTTTGCCAATGACCATCTGGATGATCCAGAGGAGGAATGGAAGAAGGTCATGTGGTCTGATGAGACAAAAATAGAGCTTTTTGGTCTAAACTCCATTCGCCGTGTTTGGAGGAAGAAGGATGAGTACAACCCCAAGAACACCATCCCAACCGTGAAGCATGGAGGTGGAAACATTTGGGGATGCTTTTCTGCAAAGGGGACAGGACGACTGCACCGTATTGAGGGGAGGATGGATGGGGCCATGTATCGCGAGATCTTGGCCAACAACCTCCTTCCCTCAGTAAGAGCATTGAAGATTGGTCGTGGCTGGGTCTTCCAGCATGACAACGACCCGAAACACACAGCCAGGGCAACTAAGGAGTGGCTCCGTAAGAAGCATCTCAAGGTCCTGGAGTGGCATAGCCAGTCTCCAGACCTGAATCCAATAGAAAATCTTTGGAGGGAGCTGAAAGTCCGTATTGCCCAGCGACAGCCCCAAAACCTGCAGGATCTGGAGGAGGTCTGTATGGAGGAGTGGGCCAAAATCCCTGCTGCAGTGTGTGCAAACCTGGTCAAGACCTACAGGAAACGTATGATCTCTGTAATTGCAAACAAAGGTTTTTGTACCAAATATTAAGTTCTGCTTTTCTGATGTATCAAATACTTATGTCATGCAATAAAATGTAAATTAATTACTTAAAAATCATACAATGTGATTTTCTGGATTTTTGTTTTAGATTCCATCTCTCACAGTTGAAGTGTACCTATGATAAAAATTACAGACCTCTACATGCTTTGTAAGTAGGAAAACCTGCAAAATCGGCAGTGTATCAAATACTTGTTCTCCCCACTGTATTTTCAGGTCTCTCCAGAGATGTTCGATCAGGTTCAAGTCCGATCTCTGGCTAGGCAACTCAAGGACATTCAGAGACTTGTCCCGAAGCCACTCCTGCGTTGTCTTGGCTGTGTGCTTAGGGTCTTGTCCTGTTGGAAGGTGAACCTTCGCCCGAGTCTGAGGTCCTGAGCGCTCTGGAACAGGTTTTCATCAAGGATCTTTCTGTACTTTGCCCCGATCATCTTTCCCTCGATCCTGACTAGTCTCCCATTCCCTGCCGCTGAAAAACATCCCCACAGCATGATGCTGCCACCAACATGCTTCACTGTAGAGATGGTGCCATGTTTCCTCCAGACGTGACATTTGGCATTCAGGCCAAAGAGTCCAATCTTGGTTTCATCAGACCAGAGAATCTTGTTTCTCATGGTCTGAGTCCTTTAGGTGCCTTTTGGCAAACTCCAAGCGGGCTGTCATGTGCCTTTTACTGAGGAGTGGCTTCCGTCTGGCCATTCTACCATAAAAGGCCTGATTGGTGGAGTGCTGCAGAGATGGTTGTTCTTCTGGAAGGTTCTCCCATCTCCACAGAGGAACTCTGAAGCTCTGTCAGAGTGACCATCGGGTTCTTGGTCACCTCCCTGACCACGGCCCTTCTCCCCCGATTGCTCAGTTTGGCCGGGCGGCCAGTTCTAGGAAGAGTCTTGGTGGTTCCAAACTTCTTCCATTTAAGAATGATGGAGGCCACTGTGTTCTTGGGGACCTTCAATGCTGCAGAAATGTTTTGGTACCCTTCCCCAGATCTGTGCCTTGACACAATCCTGTCTCAGAGCTCTACGGACAATTCCTTTGACCTCATGGCTTGGTTTTTGCTCTGACATGCACTGTCAACTGTTGGACCTTATATAGACAGGTGTGTGCCTTTACAAATCATGTCCAATCAATTTAATTTACCACAGGTGGACTCCAATCAAGTTGTAGAAACATCTCAAGGATGATCAATGGAAACAGGATGCACCTGAGCTCAATTTCAAGTCTCATAGCAAAGGGTCTGAATACTTACGTAAATAAGATTTCATTTTTTGTTTTATAAATTTGCACACATTTCTAAAAACCTGTTTTTTGCTTTCTTATTATTGGGTATTGTGTGCAGATTGAGGATTTTTTTTTTATATATACAATTTAGAATAAGGCTGTAACGTAACAATGTGGAAAAAGTCAAGGGGTCTGAATACTTTCTGAATGCACTGTATGTCGCCTAAGAAACAAGGTTCAGGAAGTCAATAACCTGCTAGTAACAGATACATATTCTAACTCTCTTAAACTCAGATAATAAATTTGATGATACAGTGGTAGCAATACATGGTTATAACATCTACAGAAATGCCAATGGGGGCGGTGTTGCGGTCTATATTAAGAACCATATTCCTGTAAAGCTTAGAGAGGATCTCATGTTAAATACTGTTTTAGTAATATGGCTACAGTTTCATCTGCCTCACCTAAAGTCCATTCTTTGTGGGAAGCTGCTATAGACCAAGTGCTAACAGTCAGTATCTGGATAATATGTGTGAAATGCTTGATACTGTATGTGACATCAAGAGAGGTATATTTTCTGGGTGATTTCAATATTGACTGGCATTCATCAAGCTGCCCACTCAAGAAAAAGCTTTAAACTGTAACCAGTGCCTGCAACTTGGTTTAGGTTATCAGTCAATCTACCAGGGTAGTTACAAACAGCACAGAAATGAAATCATCAACATGTATTGATCACATCTTTACTAATGCAGCAGAAATTTGTTTTAAAGCAGTATCCAAATCTATCGGATGTAGTGATCACAATATTGTAGACATATCTAAGAAAACCAAAGTTCCAAAGGCTGGGCCTAATATAATGTTTAAGAGGTAATACAATAAGTTTTGTAGTGATTCTTATGTTGATGATGTAAATATTATTTATTGGTCTTTGGTGTGTAATGAGGAGCAGCCAGACGCTGCACTTGACACATTTATGAAATTGCTTGTTCCAGTTACTAATAAACATGCACCCATTAAGAAAATGACTGTAAAAACTTTAATCACCTTGGTTTGATGAGGATTTGCAATATTGTATGGTTGAGAGGAATGAGGCAAAAGGTATGGTAAATAAGTTTGGCAGCACAACCGATTGGCAAACGTACTGCAAATTGAGAAATCATGTGACTAAACTGAATAAAAAGAAGAAACTACACTATGAAACAAAGATAAATGACAAAGAATGATAGTAAAAAGCTTTGGAGCACGTTAAATGAAATGTTAGGCAAAAAGGCAAACTCTGCTCATTCATTCATTGAATCAGATGGCTCATTCATTACACAACTCACTGATATTGCCAACTATTTTAATGATTTTTTCATTGGCAAGATTAGCAAATTTAGGCATGACATGCCAGCAACAAACGCTGACACTACACATCCAAGTATATCTGACCAAATTATGAAAGACAAGCATTGTAATTTTGAATTCCGTAAAGTAAGTGTGGAAGAGGTGAAAAGTATTGTTGTCTATCAACAATGACAAGCCACCGGGGTCTGACAACTTTGCTGGAAAATTACTGAGGATAATAGCAGACGATATTGCCATATCTTTAATTTAAGCCTACTAGAAAGTGTGTGCCCTCAGGCCTGGAGGGAAGTAAAAGCCATTCCGCTACCTAAGAATATTAAAGCCCCCTTTACTGGCTCAAATAGCCGACCAATCAGCCTGTTACCAACCCTTAGTAAATTGTGTTAGACTTCAGTGCGGCTTTTGACATTATCGATCATAGTCTGCTGCTAGAAAAACGTATGTTATGGCATTACACCCCCTACTATATTGTGGATAAAGAGTTACCTGTCTAACAGAACCACAGAAGGTGTTCTTTAATGGAAGCATCTACGACATAATCCAGGTAGAATCAGGAATTCCCCAGGGCAGCTGTCTAGGCCCCTTACCTTTTTCAATCTTTACTAACAACATGCCACTGGCTTTGAGTAAAGCCAGTGTGTCTATGTATGCAGATGACTCAACACTATACACGTCAGCTACTACAGCGACTGAAATGACTGCAACACTTAACAAAGAGCTGCAGTTAGTTTCAGAATGGGTGGCAAGGAATAAGTTAGTCCTAAATACAGTGGGGGAAAAAAGTATTTAGTCAGCCACCAATTGTGCAAGTTCTTCCACTTAAAAAGATGAGGCCTGTCATTTTCATCATAGGTACACATCAACTATGACAGACAAAATGAGAAAAAAATATCCAGAAAATCACATTGTAGGATTTTTAATGAATTTATTTGCAAATTATGGTGGAAAATAAGTATTTGGTCAATAACAAAAGTTTCTCAATACTTTGTTATATACCCTTTGTTGGCAATGACACAGGTCAAATGTTTTCTGTAAGTCTTCACAAGGTTTTCACACACTGTTGCTGGTATTTTGGCCCATTCCTCCATGCAGATCTCCTCTAGAGCAGTGATGTTTTGGGGCTGTCGCTGGGCAACACAGACTTTCAACTCCCTCCAAAGATTTTCTATGGGGTTGAGATCTGGAGACTGGCTAGGCCACTCCAGGACCTTGAAATGCTTCTTACGAAGCCACTCCTTCGTTGCCCGGGCGGTGTGTTTGGGATCATTGTCATGCTGAAAGACCCAGCCACGTTTCATCTTCAATGCCCTTGCTGATGGAAGGAGGTTTTCACTCAAAATCTCACGATACATGGCCCCATTCATTCTTTCCTTTACACGGATCAGTCGTCCTGGTCCCTTTGAAGAAAAACAGCCCCAAAGCATGATGTTTCCACCCCCATGCTTCACAGTAGGTATGGTGTTCTTTGGATGCAACTCAGCATTCTTTGTCCTCCAAACACGACGAGTTGAGTTTTTACCAAAAAGTTATATTTTGGTTTCATCTGACCATATGACATTCTCCCAATCCTCTTCTGGATCATCCAAATGCACTCTAGCAAACTTCAGACGGGCCTGGACATGTACTGGCTTAAGCAGGGGGACACATCTGCCACTGCAGGATTTGAGTCCCTAGTGTGTTACTGATGGTAGGCTTTGTTACTTTGGTCCCAGCTCTCTGCAGGTCATTCACTAGGTCCCCCCGTGTGGTTCTGGGATTTTTGCTTGTGATCATTTTGACCCCACGGGGTGAGATCTTGTGTGGAGCCCCAGATCGAGGGAGATTATCAGTGGTCTTCCATTTCCTAATAATTGCTCCCACAGTTGATTTCTTCAAACCAATCTGCTTACCTATTGCAGATTCAGTCTTCCCAGCCTGGTGCAGGTCTACAATTTTGTTTCTGGTGTCCTTTGACAGCTCTTTGGTCTTGGCCATAGTGGAGTTTGGAGTGTGACTGTTTGAGGTTGTGGACAGGTGTCTTTTATACTGATAACAAGTTCAAACAGGTGCCATTAATACAGGTAACGAGTGGAGGACAGAGGAGCCTCTTAAAGAAGAAGTTACAGGTCTGTGAGAGCCAGAAATCTTGCTTGTTTGTAGGTGACCAAATACTTATTTTCCACCATAATTTGCAAATAAATTCATTAAAAATCCTACAATGTGATTTTCTGGATTATTTTTCTCAATTTGTCTGTCATAGTTGACGTGTACCTATGATGAAAATTACAGGCCTCTCATCTTTTTAAGTGGGAGAACTTGCACAATTGGTGGCTGACTAAATACTTTTTTCCCCCACTGTATTTCAAAAACGAAAAACATTGTACAAATCATTCACTAAACCTCAACTAAATCTTGTAATGAATAATGGGGAAATTGAACAAGTTGAGGTGACTAAACTGCTTGGAGTAACCCGGGATTGTAAACTGTCATGGTCAAAACATATTGATACAACAGTAGCTAATATGGGGAGAAGTCTGTCCATAATAAAGCGCTGCTCTTCCTTCTTAACAGCACTATCAACAAGGCAGGTCCTACAGGCCCTAGTTTTGTCGCACCTGTACTACTGTTTAGTCGTGTGGTCAGGTGCCACAAAGAGGGACTTGGCTCAGAACAGGGCAGCACAGCTGGCCCTTGGACGTACACAGAGCTAACATTAATAATATGCATGTCAATCTCTCCTGGCTCAAAGTGGAGGAGAGATTGACTTCATCACTACTTGTATTTGTGAGAGGTATTGACATGTTGAATGCACCGAGTTGTCTGTTTGAACTACTGGCACACAACTCAGACACCCATGCATACCCCACAAGACATGCCACCAGAGGTCTCTTCACAGTGTCCAAGTCAAGAACAGACTATGGGAGGCGCACAGTACTATATAGAGCCATGTCTACATGGAACTCTATTCCACATCAAGTAATTTGTGCAAGCAGTAGAATCAGATTTTAAAAAACAGATACAAATACACCTTATAGAACATGCATACACACACGATAACATACGCACTATACACACACGTACACATGGATTTTGTGTTGTAGATATGTGAGAGTAGTGGCCTGAGGGCACACACTTAATGTGTTGTGAAATCTGTTGTGAATTTATTGTAATGTTTTAAAAATTGTATAACTGCCTTAATTTTGCTGGACCCCAGGAAGAGTAACTGCTGCCTTGGCAGCAGCTAATGGGGATCCATAATAAATACAAACACTGATCCCCAAAGAGGACATTGGATTTGCAACCAGAGCAAACACCAGCACACCGTACAGAATACAAACATCAAAATGGATACTATTGTAGGCAAGTGCATTATCATAGATAGCATAACGCTTAGAGCCAGGAGTTGTTCATGACCAAATGTCCTGACCAGGAAAGTCTCCAGACCCTAGTTGTAGACCATCATTGGAGCTGGAGTTTTTCCAGGTCTAACGATGTGCTCAGGAAAAACTATGGGCCCTATATGTTCTAATTAGTAAAGGAAACTACACAAAGGCCTACATCATTGATGAGATCCTGATGAAAACCCTTTTCTTATAAAATTACATAAATAAATTAAAGAGTCACAGTGCATGTATGAGATTGGGTGTAAAGGCCTCAGTTCTGTCTCTTACTTGAGCACCTCCTGTAAAATTTTCAGCTCCTGCTGCTCCAGCTCACTCATCACATCTGCTCCATCTGTGAGACATTCAGGCAGGGCACCTACATACAAAGGAGTGGAGCATTAGAACAAACGGTTTAATCTGTGTAGTTTTAGACTGTGTAGGCTCATCAGTACCATAGTGCGTGTGCACACATGCCCGCATGATGGAGTACAGTGTAAGCAGGTACGGTAGGCAAGCATTAGGACTAGGGCTGCAAAAATATCAAGTCACTTTCCCAATATTTTCTACAGAAATCCCGCTCGAAAGATTCCGAGAATCAGGAAATCCAGAATCCTCCAAACAAGACTTCTGGAAAATCTGGAAAGTTATAGGATTTTGAAACCCTAATTAGGAGTTGTGTGACAACACTGACAAGGCCTATAAGTCTACCATTTCTCTCTTTAATGACACGCAGCGCCTGGAGCTGCAGCTCCATGTTCTTCTGCACCATGAGAGCCCTGAACATCTGGAAGTCATCTGTGGCCAGGATGGGATGGAATACAGTCTGTACCAAGGAAGACAGGACAGGAGCAGAAAACAGTTAGCCTATCTCACACTAATTAGGATGGACATTGGACAGACAAAAGGACAAGGGGTTAGTAACAAGTTAATAACAAGCAATAAATCATTTTCTAACTATTTTGGCTAGTCAAATTAATTATTCATGTTTGTTCTTGTAAAGGAAGTTATTTTGGGTTCTACTGCCTCCGGGTGTGCATTCTTGGCAGTTGGCACTGTCATTGTTACAGTGGGCCAACAGCATGGTTAGTGTTGAAACCAGATCAGCTGCATGCATTCTCTCTCTATCACTCACAACTGAGGTCTTTTTCTGGCCCAGGTAAGTCCCAGAGGGCACCGCTGGATCTGGGTCTAAGTAACACTCTCCATCAGGAATAGCTCCCTTGAGCTGTTCCTGTATCTCACTAATCCAATTCAGGCCTGGCCCACTAATCCTGTCATATATCAGGTCTACCTGAATTCCTGTAGCTAACTGTCTCAGGCTCACAACCCAACATCACCAGATAAAGGAGAAACAGAATTCATCATTATGTACCGGAACCATTTCCTATTGTTTATTGTCATACAGGTCCATACATTCTTTGGCCATGGAGTTGAACATGATGGGACATGTTCCTCAGTCCACGACGGGGAGAACGCATTTCAACAATAGCTGATCTAGGATGTAAGTTAACTTGAATGATTTGCAGGAGAGCATTAGGCTCAATGGTGATAAGGTCCTCTGAGATTGAAACCTCATGGAATTAGCTACCATCACAACCTTGCAGATGTGCTGTAATTCCTTGGTGGACGGTAAAGACAGGTAACAGCATGTGCAGACCTGAAAGGAGCTTGCCCTCAAAGCATTAACACGTAGCCTACCTTTCTTCACAGGTAGTTCAATCTGTAAATGTTTTGTTCTTGGTTGCTTGCCATGCAAGCCTGGTTAAGCAGACTGACTGCTGCACTTGGCTGGTTCCAGCAGGCAACAACCATAGGCCCTTTTCATAAAATCAGTAAACAGGTCTACACAGGGGCGCAACTAGGCCTTTGGGATGTCAAAGAGCTAATCTCTACTGTTAAAGGTGTTAGGTCAGACGTCAGGTAGCCTACTGCGTGTAACATTACATTAATAAGTAATCACTAATGAACTCCCTCACATACAGGAATCATTTAGGGGCATCTGAACCATAACAAATACATGACAGGCTATATGGCATTAAAGGTGCATTAAATTAATTGTCCTGAGATGGAGGCTATTGAATTCTGCCCGGATACAGAATATAGCCTTCACTCTGTTCAGTAAGGCCAGAGTCCAAAGTAAGAGACCAAGAGCTGGAAAGTCTCCAGCAACCATTGGATGTCATCATCATAATACAAATCCTCTAGATATTGGTCATCACAAGGGGCATGATGGAGCAAGTGACAGAGCAGAGTGGCATTGATGATGTTATTCTTAGGGGGAGCCTTAATGCTGTATCTAAAGAGATGCCTTGCCCTGGCCCATACATAGACCTAGGACCTGAATTTCAGAGCAATGGTTTACATCTTCCTTCCACTGACTCTTGTGCAAAGCACTTAATTAAAAAGGCAACTCTCGTACTGTGCAATTGTTTGTAGAGGTTCTGTTATCTGAACCCATTTTCAATGTAAAACTGCACACTCATCCATCTAAATCTACGTATCTGGCGTATTTGTGGCAGCATATGAAAAAGATGATCATCGCGCTTACCTGTAAGGTTTTGGACTTGGCGAAAGGAGAGGAGCATGCCTCCAAAAACTGCTGCTCATTGATGCCAACCTCTTGCATGTAGGATTCTAACAACTTCTCCACCTGAAAATAAATGTAGCTACTTGCATCACTGTTTTCCAGAAACAAAACATTTGATGTTAAGACACTGAAACACTTTTCATGACTAGGCTAACTCATGCATTTCATATCTTGATTTAGGTCTACTTGGAATTGTAGATCTAAACTATTTATATTTAAGATGTATGTGTAACGTTAAATAATCAAAATAAGAAAACTTGTACAATAACCCAATGAATATTAATGTTGCAAGCCATTCCAAAGACTAGCTACTCACCAAATGCTTGTACTGCTGATGGATTTCTGTATAAGTCAATTTATTTTCATCTTCATCATCAAAAACTGAAATAAAATGCAAATTGGTGAACTATGCAAACTTGCAGGCATAATCTCAATTAAACAACTAGGGGGACACTACCTAGAGTACCAGTCAAAGGTTTGGACACCAGAGCATATGAGCGGAGTGGAGCGGGAGCGAGCATGGAGCGTGAGCGGACGGATTTTGAACAGAGCGCAGAGCGGCATTTTTAAAAGGACGGAGCGTCGCCCTATGTCCCGCTCCAATTTCGCTCGCTCACACCACGAGTCTGAAGCATGCTCAAGCCTGACCCAGAATCCATCTGTTTAATTTAATTTGTGTCGTCCATGAATTTGTATTTTATAGAGCGAGAGGAGCAGCAGCAGCAACAAGAGAAAAGGGTTGAGGAATTCAAAAGTTTATTCACTGCACGTAAAGGCCCAACCATAACAAGGGAGAGAAAAAGAGAGCTGGGTGTAGCATTTTTTGAAATGATTTTCATGGACTATGAACCGCTGAGTAAAGGAGAACGCGAAGGGATGCAACACTTCGCCAGCGCAGCTCAACCGGGCTACACCCCCCCAAGAAACTATGATAAATTAGTACTTTACTTTGTCAAATTTACATCTGAGATGCCCCATTCACATGCTTCAGCTGGCGATCAAAAACGCCGTTAACAAGCACGACAACATTAATAGGCTGTTAGTGAAAGTCGGGCACCTGGTGAAAAGTGTACGCAAGAGCACAGAGGAAACCGACCAATTAGGTGTCCGCCCCACAAATGCCTGCGCCATTCGATGGAGCAGCCAGCTGGGGATGATTCAGTCGTTCATCCGGTTGTTCCAAAAAGACCCGTTATGGTAAAACAAACTCAAGTCTAATGTTGCTAACATCACCCTGAATCAAGTACGGCAGCTGACGCACCTTGTCAGTGTGCTGACACCACTAGCAGACCTCACAGACAAAATGCAGAAGGAGCTGGGGAACCTGGGGATGATCCTCCCTGCTGTCACAGAAATCAAATCCCTGCTCACCGATTACACTCACGCTGCACTTCCAATGGGCATCGCTGCTTTTGCAGAAACATTGGCAAACAACGTGTCAATTCGCTATGGAATATACTATACTGATTAACATCTCATTTTAGCGTCAGTGTTAGATCCCCGTTTCAAGACAGAATGGATAATCCGAGATGAGTCTGTATGCAACAAATTCGGGGAGATAAAGTAAGGCTGTGGTTTAAGCTAAAAGTGAAATACATGCAGATTTTGTTCCTTTTTTGGAGTGAGCGGGGGGCGATTTGAGTGGAGCGCGATGCAAACTGCGTTGAGCGCTGAGCGATAATGAGCGGACTGGCCTGATGTGGCTTTGAGCGGGGGGAGCGGAGGGGTGAACAGCTCCGTGAGCGAGGAGCTGAGATTCTCACCGCTCCACTCCGCTCATATGCTCTGTTGGACACACCTACTCATTCAAGGGTTTTCCTTTATTTTTACTATTTTCTACATTGTAGAATAATAGTGAAGACATCAAAACTATGAAATAACATATTGAATCATGTAGTAACCAAAAAAGTGTTAAACAAATCAAAATATATTTGAGATTCTTCAAAGTAGCCACACTTTGCCTTGATGACACTCTTGGCATTCTCTCAACCAGCTTCACGAGGTAGTCACCTGGAATGCATTTCAATTAACAGGTGTGCCTTCTTAAACGTTAATTTGTGGAATTTCTTTCCTTCTTAATGCGTTTGAGCCAATCAGTTGTGTTGTGACAAGGTAGGGTTGGTATACAGAAGACATTTTGTAAAAGACCATGTACATTTTATTGCAAGAACAGCTCAAATAAGCAAAGCAAAACAACAGTGCATCATTACCTTAAGACATGAAGGTCAGTCAATCCGGAACATTTCAAGAACTTTGAAAGTTTCTTCAAGTGCAGTCACAAAAACCATCAAGCGCTATGATGAAACTGGCTCTCATGAGGACCGCCACAGGAAAGGAAGACCCAGAGTTACCTCTGCTGCAGAGGATAAGTTCATTAGTTACCAGCCTCAGAAATTGGCAATTAACTGCACCTCAGATTGCAGCCCAAATAACTGCTTCACAGAGTTCAAGTAACAGACACATCTCAACATCAACTGTTCAGAGGAGACTGTGTGAATCAGGCCTTCATGGTCGAATTGCTGCAAAGAAACCACTACAAAAGGACACCAATAAGAAGAAGAGACTTGCTTGGGCCAAGAAACATGAGCAATGGACATTAGACTGGTGGATATCTGTCCTATGGTCTGAGGAGTCCAAATTTGAGATTTTTGGTTCCAACTGCCATGTCTTTGTGAGACGCAGAGTAGGTGAACGGATGATCTCTGCATGTGTGGTTCCCACCGTGAAGCATTGTGGAGGTGGTGTGATGGTGTGGGTGTGCTTTGCTGGTGACACTGTCTGTGATTTATTTAGAATTCAAGGCACACTTAACCAGCATGGCTACCACAGCATTGGGCAGCGATACGCCATCCCATCTAGTTTGCGCTTAGTGGGATTATAATTTGTTTTTCAACAGGACAATGACCCAGAACACACCTTCAGGCTGTGTAAGGGCTATTTGACCAAGAAGGAGAGTGATGGAGTGCTGCATCAGATGACCTGGCCTCCACAATCACCTGACCTCAACCCAATTGAGATAATTTGGGATGAGTTGGACTGCAGAGTGAAGGAAAAGCAGCCAACATGTGCTCAGCATATGTGGGAACTCCTTCAAGACTGTTGGAAAAGCATTCCAGGTGACTACCTCATGAAGCTGGTTGAGAGAATGCCAAGCGTGTGCAAAGCTGTCATCAAAGCAAAGGGTGGCTACTTTGAAGAATCTCAAATATATTTTGATTTGTTTAACCCTTTTTTGGTTACTACATGATTCCATATGTGTTATTTCATAGTTTTGATGTCTTCACTAATATTCTACAATGTAGAAAATAAACAAAATAAAGAAAAACCCTTGAATAAGTAGGTGTGTCCAAACTTTTGAATGGTACTGTACATTATGTATTCCTGATTTGCAGCTGTGTGTTTAATTCATCATCATAAACAATACCAACAAACATCAAGCCTACATTTTCATGTGGGCCTATGTAACATCAGATTTCAAAAGTTAGGCTATAGTAGCCAGCTGTTGTCTTCCATAACATCAAAAGATAGGCGAAATCCATATAGCCTATCAATGGGATTAAATGCATAGAAATGGAACAAATAGAACGGACAAATCATTGTCTTAAATTGGGACTCCCATTCTATTCCTATGCACTTAATCCTATCCGATAGGCAAAATCTTGATCATTTTTGAAAAACTGGGTCCTGGCACTGGGAGGTTTGGCAACTGAGGTGATCGTTAATATTTGGTTAAGCACCGTTGTTGCCACAGTGTGACAGTTCCACGTGCGAGTGGCTTAAAGGAATGGTAGCTAACTAGCGCGAGCCAGAGGGATTAGCTAGCTAGCTTCTTTGCATCAAAGTACTAATTTACAATTTACAATAATTGGATCGATGTCGCTCAAACATGTGGAGCGCTGACACATTTCAAACAACATAAACAACTGGGGTGTATTCATTCTGCCGATTCTGTTGCAAAACAGTTCTTAAACGGATGCAAATGGAACACAACGGGGAGGGACCTATATGAATTTGTCCAATAGAAACTCTTGTTTTGCTCTGTTTGCTTCCGTTTGGTTCTTAAACGTTAAACGGTTTCAGTAATGAATGCACACCTGAACTGGGGTGTAATCCAATGATGTATATAAACCTTGGATTTTTATTTGCTATTTTACACTTAACACTTTTTTTTTCTTTTTCTTAAAACTGCATTGTTTGTTAAGGGCTTGTAAGTAAGCATTTCACTGTAAGGTCTACATCTGTTGTATTCGGCACATGTGGCAAATAAAATTTGATTTGATTTGATGCTATGTATTGGCAAATGAGAGGCTTTGAAGTCACCTGTCGGCCATATTGGCACTCCCCAGAAGAAGCAGTCCTCCATAGGAATGAATGGAATTCTACAGTATTTCAATGAAATGTTTCAAGGACAAAATGACATGTATGTTTTGTTGTAGTGGGGACAGTAATATTATAACTTTAATAATAAAATAGTGGATTATTCTCCATCCTCTCTTGATTCAGAATATGCCATTTTCATTGTCATGGCATGCTTGGTTGGTTGAATAGGTATTGACTAGATTAAAACGTAATATCCAATATAAAACTAACTTTACCTCAGTGCAGAACCGAACTATATACCTACCGGCTCTCTAAAAATTCGGGTAAACAATACTTTCCCGTGGATATTTTTTCTGAAACTGAAGGACAAACTGCACAGACAACCGGTAGAATAAGTTGAAAAGTAATTTGATTCAACATTCTGGCTTGTAAGGAACATTTACACGAGTTTGCACACAAATGTATCAGGCTGTATAGCCATCTATACTGTACAAATTAATTGTGTATTACAGCCTGATTAATCGGACCAAGTAAAATCTAATAACAGCTAACGTTAGTTAGCTAAAGTACTCTGCCGAGCATGCTAACGTTAAGTTAGCTGGCTAGCTAGTTAACTCAAGGGTGCAAAGCATTGATTATAGCATGTGTAATCCTGGTACTACAAACTGTTTAATAATTTATTTATCGTAAAAAAAGTAGAAAATAAATGGCCTTACCTG